CCATGAATTTTCGCTTCACTCTTAAGGGTACATAATGAATTATGATAACATAAAATTCTTGTTGCTCTCCTTCACTTTAGCCAAAATGCATTAATCATGTGACGTCTTTGTCAATATCTTCATGTTAATACGTAGATCTCAAGTACTTTAACATTTGCTCCCCTATTTTGCTATCCAATATCACCCCCATTTTTAAAAATCTTCAATGGTGCTAAATATGCAGTCCAAATACTTTGTATTACTTTTACTTATCTTAGACCCTCGCAATTCTATATTATCTCTTCATAGATCCAACTTAACATGTAAGCCTTCTATGAACTCATCAACTAACATGATATTATCTACATACACTGCAATACCCCATTTTAAGTAGTCTTCGACAACTCATTCATAACAGTTGCAAATAAGAATGGATTTGTTTTTATCCTTAGCATTTTGATTCAAATCTTTGACTATATCAATATATTTTCTTGATACACCCTCAGTTGTCATCGTTCCCGAAAATACTTGTATGGGTACCTTATCCTAAGCATTCTCTAGGTATACATAAATCATGCATAAATCCTTATTAACCAGATAATATTACTTGAGTTGTAAACAACAAATCACTTATGTTGCTATTTTCAATCCAAACTTGTTCCTTGTTATATAAAATATTTAAAGCATCTCCTTACTCTCTTTTTTAGCACTCCCTGATTATTTCATGGTATGGGATTTACACACTGATTTAATTATTGTTTAAGGAAGCTAAAGTCAAAATATAATCCTATTCATATCAATACAATTCAGAAGCAACAACTTTTAGACTATGTTTTATCTTTGCAGTCGGATATGGGTTTTGTTCATGCTAGCTTTATTGGGCGATTCCGAAGGTGATGATGTATGACATTGCATTTTTGTAATACTTATTGAAGCATTTACATTGTTTCCGTGAACGGAAATGCAACTCGCTAGGTTAATCCAAGTGTGTTGGGCATCTGACATAAAACTTTGCCTCTATTCTTCTTTTCAGTGAATTTAGTACGGAGTAGTAATTAACTTCGAAAATAGATTGACAATATAAATTTTATGCCAAACCTTAATTGAGCCACAATATTTCTCTCCTTTCCATCCTGGAGTTGCCTCTTACCATCTCCATCGCAATTTTTTTGACAATGAATCTGTTTCCATGAAGGAATCTCATTTATTTTCTCTTGCAATATATTAATCCAAATACTTGTCTTATTGTAGTACACATCACTTCTTCATGCCCTACGGATGAGATTGTGGTAGCAGATTCAGATGCTGAGACAGGAAGTGACACCGAATCCGATCACGATACTATTCCAGTATGCATATTAGAATCCGATGATGATGAAGAAAACAAGGAAACAACAACCATACATGCCATTAAATCTGTAGAGAATAATAAGAAACATGAGATTAAGTCCATGGAAGATGATCATGAGAGGGTTAACAGTTATGTCACAGCAAAATCAATCAAACATGATGGTGATGAGATTCCTGACAACAATTCTTCTGTCAAACAGTTAGAAGGGGGCCAAAGCAAGAGGGTTAACAGTTATGTCACAGCAAAATCAATCAAACATGATGGTGATGAGATTCCTGACAGCAATTCTTCTGTTGTAAAGTTAAAAGGGGGCCAAAGCAAGATGTTAGGAGTCAAAGCCAGTATTAAAACGTCAAACAGAAGTGAAACTGACAACTCAGAAAGTGGGAACTCAGATATTATATACAGCCAAGCTTTGATTATTAGAGATTATGATATACGAGCTTCAGTGAATCCTACCACAAATGGAGTACCAGATTTTAAACGCTTCAGAAAGGTACATTTATATTACTGTATAATACAACCATCCTTTTCTTTCTTTTTTTTTGGAAAAAAATTATTTGCTTCTATTAATTATAGGAAGGGCATAATATACTGCTTAACCTGTGTTGGTACAACCGTATTACTCTCTTCAGTAATATGGAACCGAATTACATGTCATACAGGCAACTAGACTCTTGACAGTCTAGTTCTTTTTTGTTGTGCCTAGAGGATAACACTATATCATTTTGTGCCCCACAATTTTTTTTCTTGGGTATATTCATCTATGAGTGAAATTTCAAGGAGGTTCCAAAAAAGTACCTTAGGCTGAGTCATCTTTATATTTGACCAAGGAACTATAAACTGAGATTTACCATCGGTACCCATTTCTCTGAATTACACTTGTACACTATGTTTGGTTCAAGGAATTTGGATGGAAAAGAAAAGAAAATGGCTTTCTCTAATTTTCCTCACCAAAATGGGAGGAGTTTTGTTTTCCCTCCTCTTAGTACATTTTGCCTTCTCATTTTCTTTTCTTTCCACTTTTCTTTTCTTTTCCTCTCGAAGCAAACAAAAAAAAATTCTTTTCCATCTCATTTTCTGGTTGAGCCGGGGGTCTCTTGGAAACAGCCTCCCTACTTCCGAGTAGGGGCAAGGTCTGCGTACACACACCCTCCCCAGACCCCACACCCTCCCCAGAGGTTGTTGTTGTTGTTGTTCCATCTCATTTTCTTTTCTCATTTTCTTATCTTTTCCCTTTCAAAATCTTTCCACCAAACATAGTGGTAGTGATTTACATCCAGATTTCAGACTTATTTGGGGTTCTTCCCACTTCCATCGGCATTAATATAATATCTTATATGGTGTAAAATTGCAGACAACAGTTCCATCAGGCAATAGCTTTAGCAGCCTCGTTCCATTTTCGAAGTTCCCATACAGGTAAGTAACCAACCTTTTCCATTTAGTGTGTAAACACATGCTACATACAACAAAACAGCAACCCCAGTAGAATCCCTCAAGAGAGTAGGGTCCGGGGAGGGCTTGTGTACGCAGACCTTACTCCTACTTGGAAGTAGAGACTAATTAAGGACATGCTGCGTAAAGGTCGATAACACTTTTTTGGTTGAAAGCAGAGAATCTGACTATGACAATGAGGAAGTGGTTGAATCTTTAAATGAAGAAAAAAAGAGAAAACAAATGGAGGCTAGGGCAGAGGACTTGTTTAATGATGAGAAGGTGTGCATATGTTTTCATCTGAAATTTGATGTTTTTTCTTGTTTCATGTATGTGGTCTCTAAATAATGCTCTCGTCTTCTAAATGATGTAGAAGAAGCGCATCCGAGCAGTGGGTTCCCTTCATGGAGTTTTTGCACGTGCGTAGGGAGTGACTTCCTAACCGAATCAAAAAAACATTACAATGCCGATTAGAGCTTTAATTGCTTGTAAGTTTCACTTTTCAACCCAGGCTTTGTTTGGAAACAACCGTTTGTGATTAGCGTTTTGGATTGTTTTTTAACGATACAAATTAACTTTGAAAGCACTAAAGTTGAAGGCTATCGTTTGATAAGAAATTCAAAATACTCATTCTTTTGCACGCACGCACGCACCTATATACTCCGTAGAATGTAAGAAAGGTGATGTAAAAACATGGAATGCAATGTGGCATTGGAAAATTTGTTTCCAAATTTCAAGTTTAAGCAGTTTTTCAGAAGGGATGTTGAATCAAAACACTACTAAGTATTGGCAATTTGACAAAAACACTAAGGGTCTGAATCAATTAGATCTTCACGTAAAGAGAACATGACCTAACTTGTACCCTTAAGAACTCTATACTACGGAGTATATTGTTTGGTCAAAATATTAGGATCGTTAAAAATAATGCCATGTACATATGTCACCTATGCCCCTAGTCAATGCATGATGCATTCATTCAATCAAATACCTTTCTCATCTCGAGATAATACCCTTCCCTAAAAAACTTGTAAAGTAATTATTACGGAGTATTGTTTTTTTCAGTGTAAATAAATTACTATTATTTGATTTGACGTGATTATTTATTTTTTGGGATTTTTTCAGACTTTTAAATCTCAAATGAATCTATTGTGAAAATCAACACGCTTTGAAGAATAGGATCGGACCACTTTGTGCTTAATCCATCTACTTAAAATATAAAGTGGGTAATAATGTAATGTTCACTCCTCTTCCTTGAGTTGAGTACTTGTAAAAATTACTTTCTCCGTCTTATATTTTTCTTCCATTTTAACTTTTCACAGCCTTTAATATATGGAGTAACACTTTTACCGTTAATACCTTTATATTTGTGTACAAACGTATATTATAAAAATGTGATATTTCAAAATTAAACAATGTTTAAAAATACTACGCAATAAACCCACTAGTAGTACATTTTCATCACAATTCAAAGTACTTTTTTGTAATTTATAGTTAAAATTTTAAAAATTGACCACCAAAATTGTAATGGAAGAAAAATATGAAAGAGGGAAAATATGGTGTAATTAGAATCCAATTCGTGTTTTCAAGTCAAATGAGGTTAACTCGTTTATGTTAAAAAAACGCGACCTCGACTGACTTTTTCAAATAAAGTTGCTACAATTATCCTTCAAACTCTCTTCTTGAAAGTCTAATTAATTATAGGAAGCTTCCAAAGTGAAATGACGACCTTGTCCATTTTTTATATCGTTTTTTCTATCACATGATTGATAAAATTAGGAGTTTATTAAACTTTTTTTTCCTCTACTAAAAACTCTTTCTGTTTTAATTTTTTTGTTGATACTCTTCAACCACATTCTTCTTAAAACAAGGAGAGTTTTTAGGCTCGGAGGAAGTATAAAGTTTTGAAAAACAAAATGCATCAATTTCATGACTCTAATAATCCTTGTTATAAAGATCTAACTATTAAATTTACTCCTTTCTAATGACATCGCAAATTTTGACCCGTAACTTTGTGTTTTACTCACTCTGTCCCTTAATTAAAAGATTGCCTAGGGAAATTGTTGACAGCGTGGCCTATTAGCTCAGCTGGTTAGAGCGTCGTGCTAATAACGCGAAGGTCACAGGTTCGAGACCTGTATGGGCCATTTTTCTTTTTTCTTTTTGGTAGCCTTGTGCAGTTTAAAATTTCACATCTCTTCGTTTCTTTGTATTCATACGAATCAATTCCATCCAAACAATCCCTTAACAGTATTCATTATCCTTTTTGAATGCCCCCCCTTTTTGTAGCAGTTTATTTTCTTTTTATTTACTCTTAAGAGTCAAATACATCACCCAAACAATCCCTTAGCATTAATTAATTCATTATCAACTCAATGTTAAATGTTTGGGTCTCTTCTTAGTTCTTACCACATATCCCTCTTTCTTTTTTTCTTCTTATTATCCCTTCTGAATAAATTCCATCCAAACTATCCCTTATCAACTAGGCTGATTGACACAAATGAAAGAGATCAACAAGACAGTGGTGGGAGGAGTGTTTTCTTGGTTAAGGAGAGGATGGTGGAAAGCATGAGGTCTCTGTCAATGGGTTTAGTCAAATAAGCATCCATTCCCACCTCCAAACATTTGGCTTCATCTGATGACATTGCATGTGCTGTCACTGCCACTATTGGTATGTGTGAAGAAGAACCACTCCCCACTTCTGATCTTCTTATAGCTTTTGTTGCTTCATACCCATCCATCTTTGGCATCTACATCATCATCATCATCATCATCATCATTACCTAACTAACAATCTAATAATCCCTTGATATGAATACAAAGAACAAGCAAGTAGCACATTAGATCATCAAGACTCTGATACCATATCAAAAAAACCAGTTTAATCAGAAGCTCAAGTTACTTGAGTTTGGAAGCTTAGGAAATGCTTTTACAAGTAGTTTCACTTACTTGACAATCCATCAGGATCAAGTCAAAAGCCGGGGAAAATGATCCTTCGTCATCTCTGCGGTCTTTGGACTTGATGGCATCCACGGCCTGTTGCCCGTCCCCTACAACCACAACCTTTGCTCCCATTTTTTCCAGCATTATGGTCGCAACTCTCTGAAGCACGGGCGTATCCTCAGCAAGTAGTATTCTTAGTCCTGCAAGAAGATTTTGTTGGTTTGTTTCCTTTCTGGACCCAACATTGCTTAATTCTACTGATCCCTTCCCTGCCTGCCTTGGATAGTCTTCGGAAGATGATGTAGTATTATCTTCTGAATTTGTCTCGGTGACGAGTTTACCCTTTCCGTATTCCGAGTTTTCAGATTTGTCTGGGCTGTCTAGACAAGATTTTGGTTCAAGTTTGTTGGCATTGATTATGGCTTCCAGAATCTGAATCATTTTCCCCTTGTAAAGCGGTCGGTTTACCATCAAGAGATGCCCTCTTCTACGCAACTCGGATTTGATGGAGTTGGAAGTGTCGTGGTAAAGAATCCAAGCAAACTTTGCTCTACCACTCCATTTGTCAAGAAAACCAAGCTGCTCCTTCCATATGGCTGTGCTCAAGTCGAGCAGTCCAATGTCAATAACTATGGCAAAGAGAGAGGTGCGTGTCAGAAGCCCTTGAAGCATTTGCGTGAGTTCATTCCAGTCAGATGCTTCACGAGTGTGGACTCCGTTTTTCTCTAACCATTGGGACATTATTACCCTTCCCATTCTCCCATGTAGTGCAAGCAATACCTGCATTTATTTAGGTGTTAAACAATTCACTAAAAGTTTCCCCGAGCTTCCCATAAACTATAGACCTCGTAAGTTTTTCTTTTTTCTTTTCTTTTTTTTTTTGTTTCTGAAATGAATGATAACAAACCATTAAAAAAATCAAAGCTTTAGCCATTTCAACCAAATGGGTGAGTACAATATAGTGACATTTTTGTGAAGGTATTGTGATGTTGCACTTATTAAGGGGGGTTTAGAAAGGATTCTTGAGAAATTGTGCATGATTTGTTCCCACTTGGGTTCAAACTCATGACCTCTAACCACCACACCACAAGCTGTCCCCAGACAATGAGACAAATAGTGCAAAACCATTGTACTTACAGTCATTGTCTGCTCTCTCATATTCAAATGACAAAACTGTCCTATGTCATTCATAGGAGTGTCCAGTGGGAGACAAAGTTTCATCAGAGTGCCTTCACCATTTTTCTTCATAACTTTGATCTCACCACCCATTTTGTTCACCTGTAGTCAAAAGCTTCTAATAATTAGATGGAGTACAATGTAGTGTGTTCTAAAGTGTAAAGACCATTCTTCCAGTTTTTATCTCATGTTTAGTTTGTTTGCACAAATCTATGTGGTCTATTCCTTTCATGTGGTGTTTTAGGTTCTAACTGAAACTAATCTGCATGTTACAACTTACCAGGGTACGTACTATGCATAGGCCAAGACCAGTTCCACCATGCCTGCATTATAAAGAACACATTTTTATTAACTTGTCGGGTTTAGTTTCGGTTTTGATCTGCTAAAAATACTGTGTATATTAGCATTATAACTTCAAAGCTTACAATCTTGTGGTGGAGGGATCAGCCTGCTCAAAGCTTTCAAACACAGACTCCCATTTGCTTGGATCAATCCCTAGAGAACACAATGCAATCAATGCATAAAATTGCTAATTTCTATAAAAGCCCCAATGGTAGGCAGTTTAACATTCATACCACAACCAGTGTCATCAACTTCAAACCAAAGGACAGTTTTGTCATTGTCCTTCTTGAAAGGTTTTCCACAATGGCCTCCTTCTTGATCCTTAAACTTCACTTTAGGACTCGGCCAAGATTCCATCGGGCCCTTTCTGCTGCTTGTGAGAGTGTTTGAATTTGAATTCTCGCACCATCCTCGGAGAATGATATGGCCAGCTGCAAGAAATTTATTTGACAATGTCAGCAAAAGAACATTATTATGGGTTTATACTATAAGTGACAGAGGGAACTCACAAGTTGTGAACTTCAGAGAATTGCTCAGTAGGTTTGCAAATATTTGAACAACTCTGCCAGAGTCCCCTTTAACTAGTTTTGGCATATCATCTGAGAAGAATGCATTATATTGAAGCAAACAACGAGCATTCCGATATCTATATACCAGTACAATAAATAAAACTGCAGAAGCCAGATGCCGAACATACCAGAGAGATCTAAAACAGTTTCCACATTGTGGTTAAAGCATTGGACGGAGAACATGTCAAGGAGACCTTCGAGCTCTCGACTCAAATCGAATTCGGTCTCTTCCAGAACCAGCTTCCCAGATTCTACCTGCTTCACACATCCAATGTCTTATGTGTTAGTTTATACTTTTATATTCAACCAGTGTGCAGCTGATCATTAAGCATGTGACAAGCTTATGAATCTCACCTTACTAAGATCCAAAATGTTGTTGAGGAGCCTGAGTAAAGCAGTTGAGCATTTGCGTATCTGAGTGACGGTCCCAGATTGCTCATTTGTGAGACCGTCATCGCATATAAGAATGTCCAGCAAACCAATAACCGCAGCCATGGGCGTTCTTAGTTCATGACTTCAGAAAAACAAAACACAAAAACAAACAAGTTCATAAAAACACACCGAAAATTCATTAGAAAAAAAAAGAAGTTACCTCATGTTTGCTAAAAACTAACTCTTGTAGTTACTGGATGCCTCTGCTTTCCTCCTTGCATTCAAATGGCATATCAGTTCAGCCCTGAGTTTCATTTCCTTTGAAACCCCATTGGTCAATATGAATATGCAGACGCATCCGGTGATCAGAGTGCAGACGGAAGCAGATATCAACACGACCAGCGTTTTGAAAGCCCTCTCGTCTATCTTGCCCATTATATATTTCCTGGGGATGATTATAACTCCAACCATGGGGAGTCTCTTCAAGTTCAGAAAGAAGGAGTCAATGTAATACAGCTGATTCCCAAGCTTTGCATTCTCTATGTGGACTTCTTCGCCCGGTGGGATGTTGTTTCCGTACTGTCTCTGCAAGCACAATGCCCCTTCTTGTATCACCGGGTCCTCAGAATCAACGGCCATGATCAGCTTTGGCCTCTTCGTCGAGTTCACCCAGAGAGGGGTGTTCGTGGAGGTGGCGATAAGCCATCCCTCTTGAGAGGTTAGATATATGTGTCCACTATGGAACTCAACAATCTCCCTCATCAACTGCCCCACGCTGTATAGCGCCGTGGTGACTCCCACCACCGCCACTATGCTCTCGTTCTCCGGGTCCCACACGGGAAGCGCCGCGGAGAGGAGAGGGGAGTCTGAGTACTTGCTGACCGCGACGTGCCAGGTGGCGGTGCCGTCGGGCACTTGGGAGATCCCGGCGATGTTGATCAGCTCGTCCGGCGGGATCTCCCCCTGCTTCCCAATCCTGGCCCCCGTCACGGGGTCCAGCGGGTCCCGGTACCATACTGCAGACGTGTTGCTGCGTATGGACCGGTCGTCCCATCCCTGACGGGATGCCGCCGCCGCCGCCATGCTGGCGGCGGCGGGGACATCCATGTAACTTCCGCTGATCGAGTAGTTGGAGAGGTCGGAGTATATGTAGAAGGTGTTGTTGCTCCGGTGGTCTCTGTGGAAGGCCTGGACGAAGCCATTCCTGTAGTTGATGGTTAAGGAACTGAGAGCTTTCCGGCTGGCAAACAGCGCCCACGTCACCTCCTTCATGGCGTCATAGAGCTCCACCTGCTCTGCTTGCGTCACGGCGCCGCTATAACGTTTGATCACGAACTCCGACATCTTCACCTGGGCAGTGGCTATCTCCACCGTGGAGTTCAGGATGCTCCACATTCTCAGTATGGGCCTCTGGAGGAGCTCGTGGCGGAGGCCGAACGCCAGCGTGCTTAGCGATCTTTTCGTGTAAGCTCTGGTGAAGTGCCATGTTAGTAAGGTTAACAACGCAATCAGAATCGCCAGCATCACCTGCAGCAAAAATTATACAAACCAGTTCGTTCAGGCATTTCATCATACACCTGGCGCAGAACACTTTCAAGAAACTCTGTAAAAAAACAGAGCAAGCTAAGACGAGACGTACCATGATGGCGAGACGAACAACGAAAACGCTGTAATGTGAAGACCAGGAGAGCGTGCTTGCGTACTTAAACTCTTCTTGTCGTTGTTCTTCGACGTCTCGGTTGAAATTCTTTGTGCTTCTGGGAGACTGGTTTCTTCTGCACCGGCGGGTTCCGAAACAGAGCATTCTATGGAAAATTCTTTCTGGGAAAGATGAACGGAATGGAGATTCAGAAGATGGAGTGGGATTTCTGTACACCATTGTTGTTGTTTTTGTTGGTCAGTATTAGAGTGTGAACAGTGGTCGTATGAATGTGTGATGGATTTGGGAAGAGTGGGAGAGATGGAGCTGTGGTAGAGAAAGACTGAAGATTTATAAAGTTGGGTTCGATGGAGGTGGAGGGTGGTGTATAAATTACTGTGGTAAAGTCGCGGGTTCCAAAATGAAACTGAAAACAATCTCAAGTTCAATAATTTGAAATAGAAAAAATAGTCATCATGCATGGCAGAAATGGGAGTGAGGTGGGAAGCAATAGAATGAATGCAGCCTCCAAATAGATCATTCATTATATTGATGTCACACAAATGTATTTTGATTGAAAAGCATGCATTTGTATTGAGCGTTGATGTGCATCAGAACATAATGAGACATCACTTATATACGGAGTATTTATTAATCAAATGTAATTACGTTAAGAATGCATCATTAAGCTAAGTGAAAACATTAGTTCCTATATAATTATTGTCTTTTATTGACATGTACATATTTCCAAAAAAAGTATATATAAATATCGGTCCTAAAATAACAATCTCACTGAGTATTTAACATACTTTTCTTAGCTAAAATTTATAAATTGTGATCATAAATATAAGAAAGTATGTACTCCCTTCGTTTGAGAAAATCCTTCCCATTTTGCCCGTAGGTCAAATTAAGGAAATAATAAATTGTAGTTGATTTTTAATTTTGTCCTTGATGTAATTGGTAAAATTAAAATTTAATAGATAGATTATTAGAGAAAAAATATGATGTGAATGGTAGGGTAAAAAAAATAAGGGTAAAAATAGTTTTTTAATGAAAAGTGAAAGTATTTTGATAGAAGAGAAAAAAATGAAAGATGAAATGTTTTGGTGAACGGAGGGAGTACTTCTACGTGTTGAATTATAATATACACTTAATACCACTTTTATTTTCGTAAATTAATGTTTATTACACTTTTTTTAAAAAATAAAAGTTGAGTGCCACTATTTGGTGTCCCAAAAATAATTAACATGACACGGGGTGTTATAAATGTTTATTAAATTATTAATGACCGTCTAATTTATTATTGAGTGACAAAAATATTCTTATTGAAGGAACATAATGAGGGATATTTATTAGTTCATTCCATAATTTCCATCTCACTCCTTCGAGTGCAAAAAGATTTTTCTAAAATTATTTATGATGTTTGAATGAAATTTCAATTTTATTTATATAAAAAAGTAATATAAAATTGAAAAAGATCAAATTTATATTCTCATTTTTAAATAAAAGGTGACTATGTTATTTTGTAAAACTATTGTTTTATGAATAGAGCAATATTTTTAGTACCATTAAGAGAATTTTTTTCAATAATGTTTGTTTGATTAATTAATTACGTGTAGTTCGTTAATGCAATATATGTGAGGCATGCGTAGAATAAGGTTGGTTATCGGCCGGCTTTGCGCAGTTGGCAAAGGTAAGAAGTGCCAAGGGAGTATGACCTGAGTTCGAATCTTGATAACTGTGCTCGGAGGCAATTATGCTAATTATAAGGCCTCTGCAAGTACCAGGTGTAGGTTTTTTATTCTTTACCACGGTATCACTAATCTGTGATCAAAGTCTAATTTATCTCATCTCAGTGACCGTTCAGGATTTTGAGGAGACCCTCTAAAATGAGGCTTATCATATTTTATTTTACATTTTTTGTAAAATAAGGTTGGAAGTAGACAAGCTAGCTAGCGTGCAAGAGCATATGTCAAACTGTCAATTAAGTAGTGTCATGTAGTAGTGTCATACCTTAAGAAAATAAATCATAAATATTGACCTCTTTTACGACAAGTACAGTTCATACATCCACAAGTGAAAAACCATGGCACAAATAGGCACTATAATCTGTCTCTGATTTATAAATCACTTTTCTGGGTGTTAATAGCTTTCTATAATAATAGCTTTATTTAATTTAATTGTTTTTGTTTACTCCCTATGTGTTTATGTGAGAAGGTCAATGTACTCACTTGATTGTTGACCCAACTTAGAGTAGTTGGTGAGAAAGACTCCAAACTACTTCTAGCCTTGGTGATATATCTTTCTCGCCCGGTTTCGTTGCCACTAGGTTAAAGTGCCTGTGCTACTGATTTTTGGATTACATACGGCGGTGACACGGTGCTCGATCTATTTGTAAAATTGATAGTTCTTATTTCCTAATCTTCTTAAATCTCCACTCCAAACCCACCCCTCTTTCATGCCTACTTCATCCAAATACATGGTCATTAGGTTACCTAATGACCATATACATTTGGAGAGTACACGAGACGTGACGGAGGCTGGGGCAGGGGTTTAGAGAGGTCAGAGGATTAAGAGTCATCAACTTTACGAACAAAGTGTTGTGGGTGCTTCAAAAAGCCAATGATATATACCATTGTCCAATGAAAGTATTAGGGATTCAATTGGAATTATTTAGTGAAAAAAGAGAACATTGAAATGTTTAATTATCGAAAATATAAAAATGAAAGTGGCACATTAAAATATACTCACTACGTTCAAAAAATGATTACATTTTTCACTATTCAAAAGTCAAGGAAACTTTTATTTATTTGTGCATTTTGATTAATTATTTGATAAAATAAAATATTCTTATTTTGAATAATTTTTGATGTATTTTTTAAATATGTAAATTTTATTTTTAAATTATATACCAATCTTTAAATAAAATAAATTTAAAAACTTAAATTCTTGTTTTGTTTTGCTTAAAGTGTAAAATATTTTGGGATAGAGGGATTAATAATTAAAATTAGTTATAAAATACTTTCATAAATAATTTTTTTTAGACTTTTAAAATACCAAACAGCGTCAAACTTCTTTTTTTACGTTGCGAATCATTATCTTTTATTCTTATTTAGGAAATTTTTCCCCTCTCCTTTCCTTTCCCTCCATCCAAACACAGCCAAGGCTCTCATCACATAAGGGTATAATGGGCTAATATAGTGAACCAGGCCCATGAATTCTTCGGCTCTTGAAAAGAATTTGGGCTTTCTTGTCTGAGTCCAAACAAAAAAATGAAGTATGGAATAACACAGCCCATTCAAGCTTAGCGCCTTTATGATAACGGAGTAAATAAATTGGGTCGGGTCGTCTCCGGCGGAGAGACGATCGGTGGAGGTCGCCTCGGCGGAGCAAATCACGGCGCCCGAAGGTGATGGACGACGCAGAGGCCAACTCCTCTAGGTTTCCACTGCCGGAAGCGCTCCTCGATTTTCTCAATCAGAATGGCATAAACCCTTCCATTTACGCTGCCTCCGATTCAATACCTCGTTATATCAGGTCCCCTTTCTCTCTCACACACACTCTCTCTGCACTTATGGTTATTTGAAGTACTTACGGAAAGTTTCGATTTTGGAAGGCTAAAGCCCGGTAACGGTGGTAATATAGAAGAAATCGAAGCTGACATTGGATGTAAACTTGAAAAGGTGTATTGGTTGCCGGATTTCTATCATCTTCCACCGGATGTTCGAATTGCTAGCTCAAAAGCATACCGACAAGGAATGGTGAATATTCTTTTCTTTCATACAGCCATAAACAACATTCCTACTAGTGAAAATAAGCAGTTTTCAAAGATAGTTTCTAGGCAGTAATTTTTTTTGTAGCTATAAAGGGAATGTTGTCCAACATGGTTTGCTCTGAATGTTCAGATATATGGAATTGATGCAGCATCTGGAGCTGCTGTTTCAGCTCTGGACATCTCAGTGGGAGATCACGTCCTCGATCTCTGTGCTGCACCAGGTAAATTTTGTTTCTTGTTGTAATAATCAATAATCTCGTAAGTGCATCATGTGGAGACTATCTTAAATTTAGGCTTGAGAATTTCAACCCGTGGAGATTGGAAGCATGCATCTTTTAAATTTAGTACGAGTGAAAAAAACATCTTGTGTATTAGGGCATCACTAATGGAGAGGAAAGAAGGGGGGGATATGATGATGTGAAAGGGGAAACGAGAGAAGATTGAGTAGAGAGATGGGTGGAATAGAAGAGAGAGAGAAGAATAGAGGGGAATATTATGCTTCTAGAAAGAGAAACTTTCTTATTGGTCCATTGCATTTCTAATTTTATATTTTTCTTTTGCACCAATAGGAATATAACATCTATAAAAGATCCTGAAGAAAAGTAGAGGAATGATTAGAGTGTGGTGGGGTAAATTGAAGGAGAAAATGGCGTGGCATTGAGAGTAGATGATGTGGGAGGAGAATAGAGAAGAATGATTAGTAATACTCTTAGTATTGCATATTAAATTCTAGTTACATCCATCCAAAAAACAAAAGGGTGCGTTTTGAGATAACTGGGTCGATATAATAAAAAATTTGCACCCAGTTGTTGAAACAAATGTTAGAACTTGTGAATGGGAGAGTATATTTCATGTTACAAAGGTGCACAAAGGATTGAGATTGAGCCCATCCTTATCTGCAAAGTTATGGATGAGTTAACTCGGAACATCCAAGATGGTATACCGTGGTGTATCCGTGTCTTTTATTTACGGATGATATTGTGTTAATGGAAGATAGTAAAAATAGGTTAAACTCTAACTCTCTAAGTCAGAATTATGGAGACACAAGTTGATATCACAGGGATTTAAGAGTAGTTGATGAAAATGGAGTAGATAGAGCAAAAATTTTGTACAACTAAGGTTAAAAGGTTGGGAGTGCTGATATTGGATGGGAATGAGCTATCAGTGAGTGATTTTTCAATTACCTGAGTCCTGAGATCTATTATACAATGAAACGAAGATACTGAAAAAAGATGTGACATATCACATATAAGATTATAAGACTAATGCTGGTTGGCTCAAATGGAAAGAAGCATTAGGAGAGCTATGCCTACAAATTGGACCACTAAGATTGAAAATAAAAAATTGTAGGACTTCTGTAAGACCAGTTTTATTATACGGATGTGAATGTTGTACATTAAAGAAAGATTTGATAAAGCTGATGAATGTGGTGGAGACACATATGTTACAATGAATTTGTGGTAAGACTAGAAACAATAGAGTGGACAATGAGGAAAATCACGGTAAGGTGCGGATAGACGCTATTGAAGATAGAGGGAGAACCAATTTTGTTGGTTAGGGCAAGCCAGTTGGCCCAGTTGTTGAGAAGTAGTTGAGCAGGTACAGAAAGTGAAGCGCTGGAATGTAGAAAACCTAATGAGAAGTCAAGATAGACTGAAGATGACATTGATTTAGAGAGTGAAGACTGAAGAAGGACATTAAAGCGTTGGAGTTTAATGACCATACAGTGCATGACATAAAGAATTGGAAAAAGGAAACATTTTGTGGATGATTTTCATGCCCTCAGAACTTAATTCCAACGTTATCCGACCCCATTGAATTGGAATTAAGGATTGGTTGTGGTTGTTCTTGAACGTATTGCTAACTTTTGTTAGTTACATGAAAATTAACCTTGTTACGTTGTATGAAACACGACTCGTTTTTTGGGACAATCGTATTTTTAAAAACATAACTCTGTTTTGCTACAAAAGAAATTTTAATTGTTTTTCAACCTAGGGGGGCCTATGCCCCCTCTCCTAAGGTAAATATGCCGGTGCTTGCAATCCAAATGAGCCCGACTTCAGTTCCTAATTTTAAGCATAAATTTAAAAGTCACATTCTTTAGTTCTATACCTAGATGCTAGACAACCTGGTACATAGCTTACTGCTAAGAAGTTATAATTTCCTAACAAATGATAGAGTTATTGTTTCTTTATGTTGTGTAACATCATGAGGGTGTGTGGAATTTGTGAGTACCAGGAATTTATATACCACTCAAGTAGAACTACAAAGAAATATCCACCAGTATTTTGAAGAACCACTGTCTATAATATCCATTTCTCTCTCTTAATAATATCATCTATCTGTCTGATCTGGATAATCTTGTTTTCTATTGTGTCTTAGATATCTGACAAAGCTTATGGTGAAATTTATAATTCTATGTCTCTAGGTGCTAAACTTTGTATGATATTGGACTGTCTTGGCAGTGATGGTACTGTGACCGGGGTAGATGTTGCCAAACACCGCTTAGCAGCATGTAGAAGCATGATGCTAAAGTATGGACTGGGTGATCATTGTCGTCTATTTGTTGCTGATGGAACCACATTCTCACTTCTCCCCATTAAAGCCGACACACTTTCAGAACCACGGAGTGATTCTGGTAAAAACACCATTGCCCTATGTGTTTTGCACTCTCTCTGTCCCGCAAAAATCTTCCTAGTTTCCCTTTTTGGATGCCTCCAAAAAAATTAACACTTCATTTCCTTTTTAAAAATGAACATGTGGCTCACAAAATTTATCTCTCATCTAAACAAATTCCAATTGCACACTTCTCATTTTTCAACACTTTTCAAGTCCATGAAAGTCAAACTAAAGAAATTTTTTTATGGGACCGAGGGAGTATTTTATTTGTTCTACAGTTATGCCACTGACATAAAATTTTGTAAAGAGGTGTACAAGGAGTGGAGTTCAAGGCGGCCATGGAAAGAAAGGAAAAGGGAAGCCATGGCAAGGGAAAACGGTAGTTGTAAAGTATTTCAACCCACTCAAGAACCAGAGCTTATATTTTATGGAAGGAATTCTGGGGTAGTTGGGCTGACAAGAAATGAACTATATCAGATGGTGCATTGTGATAATGTGTATGAGTTAGGCTATGATAAGGTATTGTTGTTGCTCTACTTTACCTATTCTTTGTTCCTTTAGGGTGCATTTGGAATGGGAATGATAATAGGGAAAGGACATATAAATTATAGCAGAGGAAAATTGGAATTAAAGAAAATAGTGAAAATAAAATAGTGAATTGTAGGTTCAAACTAAAAAAACCTAAAAAAGTATACGGAGTATTTTGGAAATTGTTTGCACTCATATATTTATTTGTTTCTATCATATAAAAGCAAGCACAAGAAGATAATCTTTCTTAGCATTTTTTTCTTTTCCCTATCATTTTTTCAGGATTAAAGCGTAACAATTGTGATTTAATTTTATATTTCAGGGAATACTCTATCTTCCGCAATCACCAACATTAATGCAAAGTAGTTTTTAGCTGGACAGTGGGTGTGCATTTTGGTTAGCTTTGACCAAACTGCACCAAACCAAACTGAATACCCAAACTGAAATTGAACCACATGAAATATGGTTTTATTTTGGTATTCATTAAATTTTTCAAACCCTATACTGAACCAAATCAAACCAAACTCAGAAAAATTAAATAAAACCCTATTAAAATCTAACAACCCAAAATCGAAACTGAACCACACCGAACTAACAAAGTGTGGTTTTAGTTTGGTCTACGTATCCACATTCCATTTCAAACCAAATCGAATTGAACCCTAAAAAATAAACCTCAAATCAAAATCTCCCCGTCTATTACATTCCATCTATTTTTATAGTAATGGTAACTGATTAGCCTTCAAGTTAGGTTCTTGTGGATGCAGAATGCACTCATGATGGCTCGATCAAACATATCCAAAAGTTTGAGCAGTGGGGCTGGACAACCTTCCGGCGCCGTGTATTGGAGGCAGAGAGAACTGATGACCTGGCCATCCTTCAGGTTTGAAAACTTTTAGGAAACATGCTAAGACTATGTTTGGTACGCCACCAGTTAGCTTATACGTTAGTTATTTGCTTTTTAAAACAGACACTTTTCAAATAAGCTGTGATTGCTTGGCACACTCATTTAATAAGTTTGAACTTTTTTTAGTAAGCTTCTTTGAGTAGTTTTTCAAAGAAGTTACACGAGTTTTTTCAGTTTTAACCTTCCTTATGTTTACATTTTTTATATAAATATCCTTTCATGTCATTTTCAGCTAGTATCCACCAAAAACTACATAAAACGAATAAATTTATTGGTTACTTGTTTATGCAATAGCTAACTTATTGGCTTGTTTTCCCAAACAAAGCCTATATGGCTTTCTTGTTTTGTCAGCCATTCTTGGTTCGTTTGATTATGCCCATACAGCCATCCTTCATAACGTGTGTGATATTTTTATTTTGTTTCAGCTCCAACTTTTAACAAATGGGTTCAGGTTGCTCAAAGTTGGAGGATTCCTTGTCTATAGCACTTGCAGGTCTTGATTTTTGAGCTAATCAGAACACTTATGGGGTTGCCTGTCAATCCATTCTTTAGGATTACTCACAATTGTTTAATTTTTTTTAACAGTTTAACTGTTGCACAGAATGAAGATGTTGTGGACAAGTTCCTTTCAGAGAACAGTTCTGCAGGTACCATTTGCTTACTAATCCAAATTGTACCAACTGAATGAAATGAAGCATAAAAGACCATCAATATGCATATACATTGTCCAACTAAGTTGTGCCTGTTTTCTTAATGTGGGCAGAGTTGGTTGAGATTGAAGCGGCCAAAAGTTGGCCCTGTAAGAACGGGCGGATACTTAAAACGCTACGTTTTGATCCGCTGACATCATGCACCAGTGGGCTCTTTGTTGCAAAGTTCACAAAACTAGCCATTCAAAAAGAGCAGGGTTGGCATCTTCACAAATAGCCCAACTTGTGAAGACTTAACCCACACTATTATATGGTAATCTATTCTCAATTCACATTCTGGCCCTTTTAGTAATAGTTGTTTAGTCAGTCATTAACCTCAATACTCAAAAACCTCAAACATGTCTTTACCAAATACATCCTCTATACTCAGTCTACCGTTCCCGAATGAAGTTTACAATTTCCTTTTTTTTAGAATGTCACAAAATAATGTTTAAACTTTCTTATATTCGGATCACATGGGACCGGTTGAAACATCAAGAGTAAACACGTGTATGGCTGAGATTGAGCAGAAAATGAAAATTTCTATAGTGATATATATCTCTGTATAATTCTATATTGCTACGTTAAAATTAGGGACTGTAAATAATAAATTAAATGGTCACTGGGAGTGTATTAGTTGTTGGAGGATAGGTGACGCGAACATGAGAAGTGCCCAAATGCTCATAGGAGAGGGGACGGCTGCTGATACGCCGCTGCTAATAATCAGCCCACCTCCAGTGCCGCCGCCACCACCAGTGGTGGTGTTTTGGCCTCCCGACGTCTTCTCGCTGCATGCATTTATCAATTACTATTTAGTACGCAGTATAACCTATTTCTACCCACGTACATATAATCTTCATGACCCGCAATAAATTGAAGATAAATAAATAAAATACCCGGTAGATTATAACTTTCACGGTTCGAACTCGAAGTAACCCGAACCCAAGGTGACCGAACTCGAACCCGACCTGACCGACCGATTTGCTAGGTCTAGTCAAAACAAAGAAAAACTTATTGATGATCGGGCCTTCGGGTTTGACACGAAACTTAACCCATGTCCAGCTCTAGCTTTAGGTCGCAGGGGCGGATTTATTTGTTATGTATGGGGGCAATGGCCCCCAGATTAAATTTTACAATTTTTTGTAGATAGATTTGGAGAGTTGAGGTTATTTACTGTAATTTAAAAACACTTTGATATTTCCTTGGGTTCACTATTTTTTGTTTATCATCTTTGATTAGTGCTTTAGCTATTCGGTTTTTAAAAATAATACAGTAATTAAGCACTTAATACAATATTTCTCAATTCATGATATGATTGTATTGATCTAAGAAAGACTTTTGACTATGCATTTAAATCACTAATTATATTAACTTTTAAAAACTGTTTTTATAAAAAAAATTAAGTTATAGTTTATTGAAAAACTTAAACTTTTGGTAGGAATTGAAAATGTTGTAATTACAAGTTGTCAATTGAATTACTTTCTCTACTAGATAAATTTTCTTAGTCTTTTCTTTTCTGTCTATCTAAAAAAAACTTTACCTTTATTTTTCTAAAAAGAATTTATCTCATAAATTTTCTATTCAATTCTCAACAAAACTAATCTAATCACACTTTGTAGTATTTATAAATTTTTTCATAAACTTTATGAATACTCCGTGTAAAATAGAGAAATTGTTAATAGGGTAGACTAGTCACTAGTGCAGAGGCAGCATGTTCTAGTTAAAATTTGTCAAAGTGTGAGCTGGTTGAGTAATTAAATAAATAAAGATTATACTTCTTTCGTCACTAAATAATTGTTCACTTTTCACTTTTTTCGTTCAAAATTTATAAACTTTGACTTCAAATTAAATGAAAATGATATTAGATTTTGACACAAAAATAATTTTATTTGATTTATTATATAAAATATGTTCAAAATATTATTTTATCTAATCAATAAACAATATTAATTTTATTTAATTATAGGTTAAATGTTGAAAATACTCCTAATAGACAAATATTAAAAAACAAAGCTACAATTTCAAATGTATTCTAAAAGTTTACAACTACATTTCGAATTTTGTCAAAAATTCAAGCTTTGACAAATACTCCCCCGTCTTAAGTAGACCTAGGGAGAATTTACCTGGGTGAAGAAGAGGCGCAGAAGGTGATGACGTAATCCGCCCTGGTGCAAGTGAAGGTGCTGGTGTGGTCGTCGTACGCGTAGCTGTAAGCGAGTGGGCACGCGCGCTTGAACGCCTGAGCGTACTCGCTCGGCACGCAGGTATCCGGCGTCCCGTGATCTCCGTTGCAGCAGTACTCCGCACTCCCGAAGGCCTCGCAGGCGCTCCTGCAAGCCACCGGCTGATCGTTCCCGTCGGCCGTCATCCGCAGCTCCGGCGGGCAGACGCTGTTCACGTCGGCCGGGCAGTCCGTGACGCTGCAGCTCCCGGTCCCACCCTTCGGGGCCACCTGCATCGGCAAGTTGTAACCGTCCACCAGGCTGACGTCATAAAAGTCCTGCCCGCCCGAACCGTTCAGCGTGAATTCCGCCAGAGTGGCCGGCGGTTTCGCGCCGCTGCCGTTGCACTCCGGAACCCCGGACCCGCAATCTCCGGTCACGCAACTGAATTTCCCGGCGGGATCATTTGAGCATCCACTCCTCCCCCACAGCCGGCCGGACCAGGACGTGGGGACGGTAAGAGACTGCGACTCACCGGGGCCCAGAGAGAAACCGGTGGGGGAAAGCGGGGACGTGCCGGCGCCGGTCAAAATCCCGGGCCAAACTGTGTAGTCACACTGGTTCACTACGGTGAATGTGGCCGGAGAAACAGGGGAAGACGAAAGAAGGAAGCAGAGAGGGAGAACGCGCAGAGAAAGCTGGAGAAATGACGGGGCCATGGAAGCGTGAGAGATTTGCGGGAAAATGTGAGAATTTATAGAGCGTGATTTTCGGAACAAACACGGGAATGACTGGGAGAAATGGGAAGGGGAAGGTCATGGTTAAATACCAATTAAGGCCATAGTTGCATGTTCAAACCGGCGTTGAAACATGCTACAAAATAATACCGACTAAAAAAGATCGTGACCAAATATATTTATGTCAATACAAAAAATGCTACTCTATTGATATTTGTTTAGATTAATAAAATATCCATAACTTTTTAACATAGTTTAGTGTCATGAAAAATTTAAAAAAAAAACAAATTTTAAAATAAAATTGTACTCTATATTATTCATATTAAAAATGAAGAAAAAATAATGAGCATGAATATAGTGACATGAGAAAAATAAAAATAGAAAAGTTGAAATAGTTTATATACTATAGGAATAGTAATAATAGCTGAAAACATTTTATTTTTAGATTCATTATTTGTGAGTAAAAAAAGATTGAAGAAAATGAAAATAGTTGGAAAACTAGGAAAAACTGAAAAAATTGGAAGAAATTAGAAGAAACGGGAAGAAACTGAAAACACGGTAAGAAACCAGGAAAAATCTTAAAGTTAAGAGTTTAAGTTCTAAAAAACAGGCTCTAAGTGTGTTACACGAATACCAATTGTCTGTGTGTAGATAATTATTGTCTGTTTGATCTAGTCTGATCTAATTTGAATGTAGTTATATTTCAAATAATCTCAGCATTTTGCGCTCTTCTAAAAAGTAATCTCATTTATCATTGTCACAAAAAATAATCTCATGTTTTCTCATGTGTGCAAGTTTCGAGTCGCTGTTAGGATGCTAAGGACTATTTAAAAGAGTTTTTAAGAATGCTTGTTTTTCGCAAAAAAATTAATGGTAGGATTATTTTAGTTAAATTCTATTCTTTTTTTGTTTTTTATAATTTGTAGCTTTAAATTTTAATTTGTTTTTTAAATTTTTTTTGATATAATACCAAATTTATTATTTTTTTAGAGTAAAACTAATTATTTTTTTGAATAATCGATAATCCGATAATAATTGTCTTCCAAAGTAATATATATCAAAAGTTCTGAAATTACACAATAAATTTAATTTATTTACTCCATAACTCACTACATTTTTTTCTAAGTTGCTACTCTCTCCGTCCCTTAAAAAACTTCCCATTTTGACTTTTAAAGGATTTAAGGGGAGTGTATTTTGGTGTTAACTTTCCAAAATTATCCTTTGATGTGCTTGATAAAGTAGGATATGATGTGTAGATTAATAGAAAAAAGTGTAATGTGATAGGTAGGTTAAGAATTAATAGGGGTAAAAGTGACTTTATAATAGGAAAAAAGAAGTGTTTTTCGGAACGGATGAAAAAAGAAAGGGGAAGAGTTTTGTGGGACGGAGGGAGTATTATTTTCTAGAGTGACATTTCAAATTCTTTTTCGATACTATACTATTATTTTTTGAAAAATGGCACTACAGAACTTGTGAATATTTTTTGATAATTCTGTATAAATGTTTTTTTGCAAACAACATTGCAAGAGTTGTGAAAGTTATTGAAAGTAACACAATAATTTTGTAACACCCCAACCCGCATAACCCGAACCGACGAGTTAGCGAGTCGGGTTGTTACTAATTTGGTATACACATGCATAATATTTTAAAAACACTTAGAAATAAAACAAACATTCATATTTATGGAAAAAACAATTCATCGTTTAATCGGAGTAAATAACTGAAACGTTGCGGAAGCCTTTAAAAACAACATTCAACATTCTGGTAATTTAAACAAACAAATTCAACAAACTATATTTAATTCAAATAAAATAGCTTCGGCCATCCACCAGCGTCACGCTTCACTGTCCTCCAGGCTGCTCTTCATCCAATACTTGATCCCTACCTGTAAAAATATGGAGAGTGGAAGTATCTAACGCTAAAACTAACTCATAGACTAGCAACCATTAATATATAATCAAACAATGTCAGAAGAATCAGAAAATATCATTATCCAACTGTGCCACTATTTACCCTTATCATTCAGTTTAGTTCTTACGCATACTTTTTCCATCTGCCTGCTAGATATAATCCAATTTATACCTACGGGAGTAATGGAATCCAGGCTCTCACCCAAACCCACCCTCATAACTCCAAAGTTCTCACAATGGAGGGGGTTGAGGCCCCCGCTGGCTCTCGCCAGGGGTCAATGACCACCGTGCGCACGTTTTTAACCCTCGAGACCATCGGATGAACGACGTCACCCGCATGACCTTAATTTCTAAACTCAATTCAACTAGTGATTTCCAAAATCTAGTTAACCTCATATTTGCATGGTACCATTAAGTGGTCTATTCTAAATTTCACACATAACCCAATCTTATATTTTCAATTAACTAAGGGCAGTTCAAATCCAACTTGAACTCACGGTCTAATTGAGAAGGACAAAATGGGCCGTATTTGTAAATCTAAAAGTTAGGTTCTAATCTTTAGTTGAACAGCCCAATTGGGAATACTTTTGGAGAATGTGAACATATTATTCATAACCCCTTGGAACTACAGGCTAGAACGGCAACTTACAGCAACGACTACCAGCCGTACAACAGCATTGGTAGCAGCGGCCTCGTATCGGCGTAGAATTTCTGGCGAAACACATCCGCAGCGTCAATCCCAGCAGCGGCTACACAAACGGAAGTCAATAGGAATGATATAGTGCAGTGGCAGCGACGACCCACCGGCGGTAGCAACTCCTCCGACATGGCAGCAGCCTCCTCGACGGCGGAAGACACGACGACGACTCAACTACTCGGTGGTGACAGCGGCGTTCAAACCCAGAGTAGAAGAACGGAGCAGTGTTCGGACAGATGCAGGGAAGAAACAGAAAAACCCAGTTTCCAATTCTAAACCCGATTCCAAATTCCAAATTCAATTCAACATAATCATTCGCCCAATTTCAACAATCATATTTACAAATTCAACATCAATTGAATGAAGATATATTAACGAATCCTAATCTATGAATCAATCTTAACGAGAGATAAATCACTCACCTCGATTGGAAAAGATTTACAAATTAGATGGTAAAGGATTTTCTCCGGCGAAGTTCCGACGTAGTTCCGGCGACCTCTCCTTGGCCTGATCGGCGAAGAGAAATAAGGAGGAAGATGATGACGATGTTCGGCCGTATGCTTTGTTTTTAAAGAGGTGGATTAGGCTTGTGTTTTCCGTTTAGGAATAGGAATAGGCGTAGGAATTAACTTTAGTAATAATGTTATTATTATTTAATATTATAAAATCTTTATATTTATTTGTTGAACTGTAATGTCTATTTTCTTCATCACGCTTTATACGTTTATCTAAATTTAATAAACTCTATATCATTGGTCACCATTTTACAAGATCTACCTAAAAACCCAACTTTTAATTAAAATGGTTAACTTTACAAATAATTCATATTTTAGAGTCAATGAAATAGTATATTTATTTATTATTAAAATAACGGCCTTACTAAGCCGGTTTTCAGGGCGTTACAGATTTTTTCCTGAACAAATATCTAACAAGAGTTTACTGTTATATTTTTAAAAACATAAATTTTAAAATTAAAAAATGAAAAAAGTAAATTTAGCTAAAATAATATCACCTTTTGAAAACAAGCATTTTTCTGAAAAACCGTTATTTGGCTGTTAACTTCTTAACGACGACCCAAAACTCCCACACATGTGGAAAAATGTGATTATTTTCTTTGGTAGTGAAAAGTGTGATTATTTAAATATATTTTTTCTTAAATATAATATTCTGAATGAGAAAAAAAGTAGGAAGTTAGGGACGATTTTTATTGTATCTAAATCATCACGAAGTTAGAAAGTCATATTAATCGCATGACAAAGAGACTCCGTAGTCTCTCCATCTTACCGAGTAATACATTTCTTCAGTTTGATTTTTTTGAACCAAAATGATAAACTTTAAATTTTAATTAAACAAAATTTGTATGTATATTAATATAAAAATAATTTTATTATATTTATCTTGTTGAACAATTGCAAAACTTTATTTTATTATACTAATATATACTACTTTGTAATATATACTATTATGAGTAACTGACGTTCAAAGTTCATCCGATTTCATTCAAGATATTCTAATTGAAAAAGTCTCGGACCATAATAGGTTATACAAAAGTTTTTTTTTTAACTTTTTTGGTGGTTAAATAATCCTCATAAATAGAGTAGCATTTCTAGACATCTTTTTCATTCTAAAAAGGAGTTTTTTAGAACAAAGGAATTGTTTGACACGGTAAAAACTAAAAAGTCCTGATTTCATGTTGGCAAAGAATTACGCCTCCCTGTACTCATTATTAAATTTTATTTTTGGAGTCAAAGTATGTTTAGTTTGATCTTCAATAATAAATAGAGTAATTTACTTAAATAGGAATAAAACATTATTACTTCCTCAATATAAGATCATACATTTTTATTTTCCAATGTATGACCATTGGTCATTATCTATTAGTCATTATTCAACTAAATGTCTAGCATCACTTAGACATTATTCTTCTTACTAGTCATTATTAAGTCCTATTTAGAGAATAAAAAAGTTTAAGTTCTACATTGGGAAATGACTTATATTTTAGTCATATTCAGTGCAAATTTCACTAATAAATATTGTACATATTACTCCGCAGTATATTACATATTACTCGGAATGGTTCTTTTGACCCTCAAACCATGGATCATTAATTATCTAGACACATGTTGATAAAATAGATAGTTCTTACTCTCATAATCCTCCCAAAACCCACTCTAACCTCTAAATTACCGATTTAGGCTATCAATTTACCAACAAAGCATCATAGGACCTAGCCGTACATTACTCCGTATTTTTAAATACCCAAATAATTTTGACCAATTTTTTTAAATTTATAATTTCTAAATATTATTTTCTCACAACTCTTACCCTCAACTAAAAAGTAAGGACAAAATAGACAAACTAAGTTTTCCCTTGTTAATAGTCCAAAAGAAACTAAACAAAAACATTGAGAGAGAGAGAGATTAAAACATTTTTTTTCTCAAAA